CCAGACCAGAATGATGTGATCCAGGCTAAGAAAGCCTATGAACTTCAGAGTGATGTATGTATAGAATCATTTTATTCTCAAGCAATGTTTGTAAAGTTAGTGTTTCCAAATGAGAAGATTAATATTAATCCCTTAATAAGCCTAATATGACTTTAGGAACTCACAGATTATATTTGTGAATACTTGCTGTCCTGGCTCTGCAGTAATTAGATATCATTCAGTTTCCCTCAAGCCATTTTTCTCACCCTATATCTGGATTGTCTATGAAGTTATGTAGAATGAAAAGCAGATCTCTCACTTTGGGGGAGTCAGAGCTAAAAACCTCCTGAATTCAATTTTCAAAATTAATTGTAGATGTTAGAAAATCTAACTTTAAAAAGAAACCAAATATATCTAATTTTGTAGGAAATCAAATAGTCTTATCTCAAATTTTCCATTCCAAAGACAAATGTCTAATGATCAGTAACAAAGCCCATACAAATTTTTTAAAGCATAATTTATAATTACTGTCTCATCAATAAGTACTACTTTTAAGTCCTGTCAGCCTTGTGAATGTCCTAGTAGCTTTTCTTAGGGGTATAACAAATATTGGCATATAAAATGTAATGTTGACTGCAAACCAAACGATGCTTTGATTCTTGTGGAGGAGATAAAACACAATCAGTTTAATAACAAATTGCTTGTAGTTCAGAGGCATGAAGGTCTCACATTCAGATTTAACTCTTCTTTGTATGTATTTCATCTGTTTACTTTAGAACATATACAAATCAGACCTGGAATGGTTGAAGGGTATTGGATGGTTGCCGCAAGATTCTGTGGAAGTGAATAGAGTAAAGAATGCCCAAGGGCTAGTGAATGAAAGACTGTACCGTACAAGACCTGAAGCTCTCAAATTCACAAGCATTGTCGACACCCCTGAAATTGTCCTGGCAAAGACCAATGCTCTGCAAATCAGCAAGGTGAGAGTGGCAGAGAATTAGAGTGGTTAAACGCAAGGCCTATTGGATCAGATTGCCATCACCTGCAACCTTCAAAGGCAATCCATTGCAAAGAAATCTCTAAATACTTTCTGTAATGCCAATTCTTTCAGTTGAATTAAACAGGCTTTTTGAAACACTTGCATAATCGATAGTAATTTGCAGAATTATACATAAATTTGGATATCCATTATTCTAAATTAATCTATAAACTCCACTTTTAAATGAATTTATTAACAAACTAAAGCTTGTTGACATTTACAGATTTGGTAAATGTGAGTACAGTGGACATTTTCAGACTTAGTTGAACATATTGTAGGCTCTAATAAATAGTTTGGGTCAGGCAATGACTCATAGAAATGGCAGTTATACATTTGTATCTCTTCATAGATAAGATATCATAAGATATCAAGAGTCAAAGGAGAATTTCAGAATAACAATGTGACCATTCTTGGTTTTCTGATGTGCCCAGGCATGTAAGTCGGGTATGGGCTGAATGTGCTAATACACCCAGGCTCATATTTTCTGCATAACAACGTTGATGGGTCATGTGTGGTACAATGGGAAGAATGCTAGTTTTCAAAGCAGAGGATCTGAGTTCAAATACAACACAACCACTCACATCCTGCGGGACCCAGGGCAAATCATTTAGCTTCCTTGCACTTCAGTTTCCTCATATCTATAAAATGAGTTGAAATTATATGACCTGGAAGGTCCCTTCCAGCCCTAAAGTGATGTGTCTATGAATTATTTTTTCCTCACAGAACTTGTTAGTACTGCAAAGCTTGGGTTTTTACCAAAAAAGCCACCTAGGAAAGAGCATCATATTTATCAATAAGATGACAGAATTATCAAGATCATTATGGACATACCCACAGATAAATTTTTAGTTATACCTCTAGGTTCCTTTGTGATGTTACAGAACATATGTGTAATGACATTCCTTTGGTTTACATGTTGCCAGCCGTTATATCGAGATGCTTGGGATAAGGAAAAAGCAAATGTGAACATCCCTGTTGACACGCCTGAGATGCTACAGTCCAAGATCAATGCCATGCAGATCAGCAATGTAAGATACTAAAATGAAAGCCATCTTTTCCCTACAGCAATGTATGTGTGGGCCATGTCTGCTACTGTGATGTCTTTTTTCTACCTAAAAATACACAGTAGGATGTGACACTTGATACTTTCACTACTGTTCTTTCTATCCCTACCTTTTAAGGCTAAGCAGGTGCTATAAGACAGGGGCCTTGGAGAATAAAATGCAGAGAAGCAAATGGAAGGGCTTCAGAGAAGTTAGTCTTTTAATGGGCTGTCATCATTTTCTCTGAAGACTCAATGCTGCATTTTTTTAAAAATAAATTTATTTATTTATTTTTAGTTTTCAACATTTACTTCCATAAGATTTTGAGTTCCAAATTTTCTCCCCATCTCTCCACTCCCCCCATCAACAATGGCGTGTAAATTGATATAGGCTCAATATATACATTTATATTAAACCTATTTTCACATTAGACATATTGTAAAGAATGGGAGAAACCACGAGAAAGCAGAAACAACAAAAAAAAAGAGAGACAGCAAATAGTATGCTTCAATCTGCATTCAGACTCCATAGTTCTTTTTCTGGATGTGGACAGCATTTTCTATCATGAGTCTTTTGGAGTTGTCTTAGATCCTTGCATTGTTAAGAAGAGATAGGTCTATCAAAGTTAATCATCACACAATGTGGCTATTACTGTGTACAATGTTCTCCTGGTTCTGCTCACTTCATTCAGCATCAGTTCATATACATCTTTCAAGGTTTTTCTGAGGTCTGCCTGCTCATCATTTCTTATAACATAGTAGTATTCCATTATATTCATATACCACAACTTGTTCAGTCATTCCCCAATTGATGGGTGAATGCTGCATTTTATTATGCTGCATTTTATTATGAATTTCAGAATTATCAATAAACACACATTTCAATAGAGAGAACAAAAAGTTTGTGGTTTCATGTTCGTTTTTTTTTTTTACTTTTTTCACACTTAATTTAGGCTTCCTTAAATTTCCATTCTTAAAGGGAACCTCCTTTTGTCAATGAAACATTTGTTTAATACACCAGACAGAACAGGAAGAAATTCAAGAGGAAACAGGCAACAGGGCAGCTTTGAAAGTAACATGTTGGGGCACCTAGGTGGTGCAGTGGGTAGAGTACTGGCCTTGGAGTCAGGAGGACCTGAGTTCAAATCCAGCCTCAGACACATAACACTCACTAGCTGTGTGACTCTGGACAAGTCACTTAACCCCAATTGCCTCACCAAAAAAATAAATAAAATATTAAAAAAAAGAAAGTAACATGATGAATTTATCACATTTTTAAAGCAAGCTTTCTTTTTTATAAGAATGGCTCTTTGGGATGATAGAGGCAAGGGATGTAGGAGAAAATTTAGAAAATGTTAAAACACAAGATAGCAATAAACTTAATTTTTTAAAAGCACACTATATGTAATAGTAATTAGCAACTACATATAATCTCTTGTTATACTTTGTACATGAAAAAATCTTCATTTTTTGTATTTGTTAAGATATAAAAAAATAAAATAATGTAGCCCCCTTTTAGTGGGAGACTTTTATTTTATGTCATTATAAACTTGGTATATCTAAAGCTCTAACTGAAACAAGGCCACTAATAAATCTTCGAGCAAAATTAGTTTGCAACATGTTTCCTTGAGTATGTCTTTGTAAACATTGGCTATGAATGCTTTCTGGAAATTGATTGTGGATTGTGGAATTTCTCTTTTCAGAAACAATATCAACAAGCTTGGGAAGATGTCAAGATGAAAGCTTATGACTTACGAGCAGATGCCATTGGAATTAAGCATGCTAAGGCTTCAAGAGACATTGCTAGTGAGGTAAAAACTCTGCCCTTTTCCTTTTCATTTTTGAATAGGGCCTTGCCCATCCTTATCCAGGGTCCTTAAATTAAATTACTTGAATGTTTGCTGAATTTGTGACTTGAACATAATGTTCTAATGATAGTGGAAAGTCTGCCTATGTTTTATTTAATTGCCAATTTCAAAGGCATCAAGTAGGACGTTAGTACAAGTTTAAATTGACCCGTATTTAAATTCATCAATAAAATTTTGGACTTTTTCCTAGATAAGGAAAGTTGTAGCCAAACTTCCATTTGTTATCATGCTTAAGTATAGTCATTTATTTTTCAAATATCTTCTCAATGTCAACTAATTCATAAGTATTTATTGAATACTTACTGGATATAGAGCACTACATTAAAGACCATGGTATGAGGAGGGGAGACCGGAATTAGAGCCCAGAGAAAAAATCACTTCTTTTTCTTGAGGAATTCCTGGAGCAATACAGCAATCATTCACATTAATTATAGTAGTTTAAGGGTTACAGATCTCTTTCGAACACCCATGTGAGTTAGAAGGTGCAATAATTGTTAACTTCATTTTATAGATGGAGGAGCTGAGTTTTAGAACGGCTAAGTAACTTGTTTGTAGTCACCCAAGGAGAAAGTGTTGGCGCTGAGAAAGAATCATGGAAGGGACCTTAGTGGCCATCTAGTCCAACCTGTGCTTGAAAAAGAATTTCCTTTATGGCCCATCTGACATGAACTCATTACACTATGGCCTCTATCCAGTGATGGAAAGAAAAACATACACACGGAGAATCAGTTGAAGGAAATGGGCATGTTTAACCTGGAGAAAAGAAGACTTGGAGGGAAATAATAGCTGTATTGAAATATTTTAAGGAAGATTCAGCTTGAGATCAGTAAAGAGTTTCTAACAATTAAAGCTGTCCAAAAGTGCAATGGGCTACTTCTAGAGGTGGTGGGTTCCCCCTCCTTGGAAATCGTTAAGAAAAGACTGGATGACCATTTTGTGAATATATTACAGTGGGAATACTTTTTGTGTTTGAGTTGGACTGTATGTCTACTAAGGGCCCTTCCAGCCTTCAAATTCCACAATTCTGTCTGACATACGTAGAATGATGTGAGAGAAATGACAAAGTAGCATAATGCTGAAGGATAGAGTGTAAAATTGACAAGTAGGTGCCAAGAAAGGGATTGAGTAAAGTACAATGGGGTTAACCTGGAAAGCCTTCCTAGAAGCAATGAGAATTTTAGAAAAATAACTTCTTTTTTTTTCTCTTTGTGCCCACTAGTATCTCTACAAATCTGCTTATGAGAAAACAAAAGGCCATTACATTGGATGTCGCACTGCAAAGGAAGACCCTAAGCTTTCTTGGGCTGCTCAAGTGTTGAAAATGCAGAATGACAGATTGTATAAGAAGGCCTACAATGACAATAAGGCCAAGATCTCTATACCAGTGAACATGGTGTCCATCAATGCTGCCAAAGAGGGCCAGGCATTAGTGAGTGATGTGGACTACCGTCAATACCTCCACCACTGGTCATGCTTTCCTGATCAGAATGATGTGATCCAAGCCAGGAAGGCTTATGACCTGCAAAGTGATGTAAGTACATGGATCTCCCTAGAGATCCAGATTTAATTTAGGCCCAATGAAACTTTTAATTTTTAAAACTTTCCCAATAGTTTGGGGAATGCTATAATAATCCAAGAAAACTCAGTCAATAAAAGAATTTCACTTTGGGCTTCTCAGTCTTTTACCAATTGGATTAATTGTTTTTCTTAACCCAAAATTATCTCCTGCTTTTGACCTATTCAGTGATGGAGATCAAGGGCAACAGTAGACTCAGGTCATTCCATCACTAATTCAATTTAATTAAATAAATTCATTTACTAGTGAAATTTCACCTTTCTATTTCCATTTATTCATGAAATTGGTATCATGGATGAATATGGCATGATAATTTCATTATAGCCTGACCATTCTCGTATTTTAAATGTGTCATTTATGGACTTGCTTATGGAGCTTCCCAAGTGTACAATTTTTGGTCTTCTTAGAATATGTTACTTAGAAGGAAATATCAGATACAGAAATAAAATAACAGATTAAGAAGACAAATAAAATTAAGTATATATATAATTTCCTCTTAATCTTTTACAAATCTACTTATATTTTATCATGTGCCATCTCTTGGGAATAATGATTTCCATAAATTTAGCATTCATTGTGTATGTTAATATTTCTTTTTATTTGTTCTAAAGTTAACTCTCTTAAACTTCTGTATAACTAACACTCGAGAAAGATTTCCAGGTAATGGATTAGATTTGTTCTATTTGGCCCCAGGATGTAGCACCAAGAGTAATGGGTGGAAGTTACAACAAGGTAAATTTAGGATTAATGTCAGGAAAAACTTCCAAACAATTAGAGATATCTAAGAGTAGAAGGAGCTGCCCCAGGAAAGAATGGGTTCTCTCTTATCAGCACCCAGTGAAAAATCAATCCCTTTTCTTGAGGAACTTCAAAATTGAATAGCACAATAATTACTCACATTTATTATAATAACTTAAGGGTTAGACAATGCTTTCTTCCCAATACCATATGAGTTGGGCCTTCAGGTAAAAGCTGGAAGGCTGCTTTGAGGTTTTTTTATAGTGGTGATTCTTTTTCATGCAAATGTTAGGCTACATAGTCATTGAGTTCCTTTCCAATTCTAAAATTTTATGATTCTGTGATGCATGGTTCTGACTGGATCATTACTGAATGCCTGTCAGTCATGAACCTGAAGAACCAAAAAAAAAAAAAAAGATATGATCTGGATTCTTGAGAAGACTGTCTTCTTAGAGGATGGGCCTTCTTAACCTATAGGACCCAAAAATATTCCAACAAGGAAAAAATAACATACTTCCTTTCTAAGGCATAATGTTGCTTTCACTGTTGCCTTATTTCATTTGTACCATGGCACATTAACTACTATTAGCAAATACAAAATGATGGACTTTTTAAAACCAATCTCCAATCTGATATCATCTGATATTGCTTGATCATCATCATCTAGGAAACCACATTGTTCATGAAGAAATTACACATCCATTTTCAATGCAGCATTTATTCTCTATTTATTTATTATGTATTAATTTTATTAGCCACTGAGGTTATCAAGGCAAAAAAAATGAAATATTTCCTGCCCTTGAGTAGCTTATATTCTACTGAGGTATAGAACATGTGTACGCATAAGCAGATACAAAGTAATTTGAAGTGGGAGAATACTAACAACTAAGAAATACTCTGTGTGTGTTTGTGTTTCTGTGTGTTTAAAAAGGTATTGATATAAGGGACCAATTTCCAATACTCTGCTGGTAGCCTAAACCTTTTGTTAACTCTGGTATAACCAAGAGTGATGGTACTGGGGAAAGACTCTTCAAATGGTTGCCGTTCTCTGTAGTCATAGTCAATCAACACTATTCTAAAAATCCATCCCATTTAGATGGTGGTTATGTAAACACATCAAAAGGCTTTCCAACAAAGCTTGAGACCATTTCTATTTCTAAAGAAACGAAAGCTCCTAAGCATCCTAAATCAGACTCCTACAAAAGAATTATTGCTCATAACAAAGAGCACTTTTACCATGGATGTATTTTGAATTATATATCTTTTATTAAAGGGGTATTTCCCTTGCTTAGGTGTTGGAATAAAACGAGGAGACAATTTGTTCCTTTCTGTTTTGTCTCAGGCCATCTATAAGGCTGACTTGGAGTGGTTGCGTGGTATTGGCTGGATGCCAGAAGGTTCTCCTGAGATATTGAGAGTTAAGAATGCCCAGGAGATTTTGTGCGACAGTGTCTACCGGACACCTGTGAAAGACCTTAAGTATACGAGCATTGTTGACACTCCTGAAGTTGTCCTTGCTAAGGCAAATGCTGAAAACATCAGTATTGTAAGTTGCTGCTTTATCATATCATAAAGTTAGCTAAGTATAAGAAATATTTGGCCAAGTAATTTATTCCCATTGTCATATAATGCCTACAAAAAAAATCAACAATCATTAGTGTTGGCAATGTGACATGCTATTAGTTATCTAGGTCTATGAACTACAATTCAGAATGATAATTCAGATTTCATGTTAAGTATAGGCCATTTATTTGTGTCTGTTGCAAAAATATTTGTGCTGTGTATGCTCTTGGTTAGGATTTTTGATTTAAAAAAAGGCAGAAGTTGTATAATAGGCAATACTATCCATTTACGAAGTGATTTTCATTTGTTGTTTCTTCCTTCTCTCACAGCCCAAGTACAGAGAAGTTTGGGACAAAGACAAAACCTCCATCCATATCATGCCAGATACCCCAGAAATTAATCTGGCCAGAGCAAATGCTCTTAACGTGAGCAATGTAAGTACATTAGTGATTTTGTCATGTTTGAAAAATGACTACTTGTTATATTGCTTCAAGAAGTCATTTAGGGACACCTGGCTACAAAATTCCCAGAGTCAATGGTGAGAACATTGGCTGAAAATGGAACACAGGCTTTAAGTGGAAGTCAGAAAATAAACAGCATATTCCTGGCTCTCCTTACTGAGTTGTTTGGCATGCCACTTTGCCAGCTATAACAGTGGGGATAAGGGAAAAACGAATAAGGATAAAGTGGATGGAGAGAGATACAACCTTCATTTCCCGCAGGGATTTCCTGTGCTCATGTGATATATTGTAAAGAATGTGCATTGACTCAATAGAAGAATACTATTGTTTACAATAATTTGAATGTTTATATCTTTTTGAGAGAAACAATGAGTCCTTGAGATACAGGCACTTTGTTTTGCTATACAACTAAATGACAGTGTTTGCCAGTCAATAATTCCACACCAAATAATATTTGCAATCTTCACATACAAATGCTCTTATGAAGCTAAAGTTTTCCAGTGACATTTCATCAGTATATATGGGATGGAAGAAGTTAGAGCTCAGGACTATCCTAAAGAGTTCTGTAAATCCAAGGTAACCTTTCATTCCTTCCAAGCAATTAGATTGAGAGAATGTTCAGTATTATATTTACAGAAAACCAAACAACCCCTAGTAATGACTCCATTGATACCTTTAGTAAGAGGGTTTGGTATTGAACATATAAGTATTGTAAGTTGCTAGTATATTGCAATATAAAGTTAACCGAGTGCAGGAAATAGCTGACTAAGTTGTCTATTGCTGTTGACCATACAATGGACAGATCAAGAACAAATTTAGGACAAATCAAGATGCTTTCTTTGGACTGGTCCCTAGAACTCAAGTGTAGGTGAACAAAACTATATCACCAATATTGTGATATAATTTAAGAAGCATTAGAGGCTATGAATCAGAGATGTAGGGATTCTTTTTGATTAGCTTGGTTTAGGTTTTTACTCAAATGTACTGAATTTAGGGAGAAGTTGAGTACTTCAGAACTTCATAGCCCCTCTCCATTTGATAGCTTATAAAATATAAAGATATTTTATATATTGTTACTTTGCTACAACTTTCCCACCCCCATAAAATACAATGTTCTTTCAGTCCGTCGATAAATGCTACTTTAAATAGTTCTTTCGTTTTCCTTTCTTGGGGACACACTTTGCCTGGTATCAAACTTTTTGTCAGAGTTTTAATCATGTGCCACAATCTCATGTCCCTAATATGATACCATTATCCTAACTAATATTTTTGAGCTATTTTCAAATATGATGCATACTAATGCCATGTATTTCCTTCTCTTAAGAAACTTTACAAAGAAGGCTGGGATGAAATGAAGATGAGCTGTGATGTGAGGCTAGATGCCATTCCAATCCAGTCTGCCAAGGCCTCCAGAGAGATTGCCAGTGATGTAAGATTGAATTTTGGGGGATTCTCTCTTTTTTTTTCATTTAGACAAGTCCTATGAGTATGTGAGAAGGGTTTTTTGTGATTCAAATTGTGCTCCATCATTTTCTTCTACAGTATAAATACAAACTGGACCATGAAAAGCAGAAGGGCCACTATGTGGGAACCCCTACTGCCAGAGATGATAACAAGATCCGCTGGGCCTTGATAGCAGGCAAGATTCAGAACGAAAGAGAGTACCGGTTGGACTGGGGCACGTGGAAGACCAAATTCAAAAGCCCAGTGGATATGCTTTCTATATTACATTCTAAAAACAGCCAGACCCTGGTCAGTGATGTAGATTACCACAATTATCTTCATCAATGGACATGCCTGCCAGACCAGAATGATGTGAT